ATTATTAGAATATTATTAGAATATAGGTATGTAGATAAGTTCTGAAGTTTCCTTGATACATCGAGGCTCTCATCTTTCATCCAGTGAAGTAAATGGCTTTGATCAAAGCTACACTGAACCCACTCTAAGCACATACCTCATTGAAATGGAAAAGATACTTCACAGATTTTTCCCTGACACTGTTCTGGTGTCAAGGCAGATTTGACCTACACATGTCCTGCTATTAATCTGAGAAAGTTTCTATCTCCTGTCCTTCTCTGACTTCTGCCTTTCTACACAACTTTGCTATTTGACAAGGAAGAAGGCTCATAGGAGGTCATAATGGTCTGCAAAGTTTTTATGTTACCTCTTTTTGTTTCTCCTACTACTGTTAGTGGTCATGTGCAAGCCTTAATACAATTGCAATTCCCATGAAGACATCTATTATTATGTCTGAAATATGAAAACAAAGTGATTTTCAGCTAATTATATCAGCTCATACAATACAGATATGTAGTTTCACATATCTGAAAAGCTTTCTGTTTCACAAATTATGGAAGCAATTGAGCTCTATAGAACTATTATTAAAAACTTGGTAAAATATTAACTGATGAGGTTTTAATTAGCTTCTTGTTTATTTTGAGAGGAAAAATATTTCTGTTAACATATTAATTATAACCAAATTCAGTTTTATCCAGAAAGGACTTCACGTCCTGTGCTAAAACAGATTATATCACTCAGACATGCAGTAATAAGGGATGGAAGAAAATAAGCTAGCAGTTAAGAAAGTAATAGGAAATAAAATAAACTAGTTCTCCATCAAGGTGAGTAATATTTTCCAAACAATCTAGACTGGGTTATTCAGAAAAAGTGATACAGCTAATCTGCTGCATCCAGAAAACATAATTGGATTTGACTGCAGAATAGCAATGGCTTCTGATGCAAGACCTGTGCGGTTTAATTTTCAAATCATTCTTGCCTTACCTTTTTAAAAATGTGATTAATAAAGAAGCTACATATACAATTATAGTTGATTTAGAAGAGAGTATACAAACCTGTCACAAATCAAGTTATGCTATTGTTTTTACAGGTCTTGAAAGGAGCGTCAGAGGTAAAATCATGGTTAAAGAAAGAATACTATAGCCAAGTCTGAATGAAGTATATAGATCAGAAGAACATACAGGAGATAATATGAGAATTAAATTACAGTTTCTTCTCCTTCAAAAATTATATGTATAAAAATATTATTTTCAGAAAAGCAAAATGTTTGTATTATTTGGTTAAAACATTGCAAGTTTAATGGAAATCAAGTTTTTGATAATGTGCTTTGAGTCTTAAGTGAGCAAACCACCTCAAAAGTCAGAGAAGATAAAAACCTCACTTACGTTGTCCAGAAAAGTAGGTGTTTTGCTCAGAACATAACTAGAGAGCCTCCACTTTGCTTAGTACTTCTTATACAGCTGCTAACTACAACTTTGGTTTAAGAAAAAAGAGGAAGACAAATTGTACTAACAGAGACATACAGAAGTTTTTATAGAAAGAATTACAGCTTTCTTTTGTAGCAGCGTCTCAGAAAGATGTATATTGAGCTACACCACCTTAATCTATTTTCTCAAAAGCATTCTGGCAGGATAAAGCTGAGTCACGATATATTCATGTACTCTCACTGATGAGCTTGACCAATACAGTGTTTCCAAGTTCTGATACAAGAATATCTTAGAGAGATCATATTGCAATGAAAAGAAATAGGAAATAAAAGCATGGAGTAGAAAATTTTGTATTAGTATTTAAATAACAGCCATAAAGTCAAACAGATACTCTTCCTCTGTAACTGCAGGAGTGCAGCAGACGCCATGATGCTATAGACGCTGTCCATTCATTGGGACAGGGTGAATATAAGGGATGGAGAAAGGTTGAACTGTGTGCAGTAAGCAACCTTTGAGCTCACCAGAAACTCGGCTCCTTATTCCTGCTTGTTTCCCAGCCTTTTGGCAATATGTTTACTTCATCATGCCTTTCTCTTCCCTCTCTACAAAGCTGTATGATACACGTTAAACTCGGTGGTAGGAGGCATTCCTGTGCAAAGGGGCAATAGCCAGCTGCAATTCTAACAGCTCTGTCTAACAAAGCAAAAGTCAAAACTTTTTTCTTCTTTCCTTGAATGATAAAGCAGAAAAGAGCTAACATAGTTAAAAGAAAAAGCAAAAGTAATGATGAAAGGAAGAAAAAAAAAGTCTAAATTAAATCAGCCAACTGCCTAATTTTAAAGTGAGAAACTCTTAATAGCTGCAATATCTTTAAAACAAAAATTGCTACTTCTGACTCCATATTTTTCTTCTCTGGGAAATGTATTGATATCTCGATTACTAGCCTGTTTCTACTATACCTTTCTCCCTGGAATAGGCTGCATGTATAAAAATTTACAAATAAAAATGCAACAAAAATAATCAATGAGAAGCTGTAAACTTAATCTTTCAAGTTTTTATTAATCAAGAATTTCTTATACTGCCTTATGACAGATTGCTTTTTAAAGCTGAGCATTACAAAAGCATTCTTCTGAATTGAGAAAAAATCATATAAAATAAATCCTACATTGCCATAGCAGTTTATAAATGCCCAGCAAGTGGGCATGTTTTAGAAAATTAATTACCAAAATGCATTACTTATTGGACCCATTCACAGTGAAGTGTTTCCAAAGAGACACTATTCACAGTTAAGCAAGAAAATAAAGTCAGGTTTTCATTGTAGTACCGCACTTAAATAACTACATGTGAGAGTCTCATCTCCAAATAAGCCCAGCTTATTTTCACTTTTTGGTATTTATTTTTTGTGTTCTCTGTTCTTTCATAAATCGTTTCCTATATTCACCCCAAGGCACTATGATTATCAAAACACAGGCTTGAGAAAAATACACTGAAAAAAATTTTCTGGTTGATGTTTGGCATTATGATGCCTTGCCAGGTTTCATCATTCATATCATGTCATATAGAGTAATGCAGTCTGATTGATGAAACTCACTGGGACTCATCACCTTTCATGTGTTTGCTGAAGAATTTAAAGGTATCACACAACCTTTGGACAGAATTCAAAGAGGCACTACACAGGAAAGAAAGATTTTGCTATTTTATTTTACCATTGAGATATAATTATTATTTTTTTACTCTTTGGGATTTAAAAAAAAAAAATACTTTTTTTTTGAGATTGCATGGATCATACAATTTTTAGTCTCCATTGGGAAATCTCTGTTAAATACTTTCAACTTTAGACTGAAGTCAACAGTAAAGCATACATGTCTTATTATAGCTTTATTATTTGGCTGCAGATTAGTACTTATTCTGCAAAAAGCCTTTTAGGGTTACAGAAATTGAGAGAAAAGTTTATTCCGTTTAAGTCTTTTAGAAATGCTCATTCATTTAGAAATATCATAATCTTCCCTTCATTCTGTGGGATAATATATTTCTTCTCTAATAAGATGATGGAAGGCTTAACTTAAAGTGGGCCCTAGGGATTTAAAGCATAATATTTTAAAATTAGCCTTTTATAGTCTCATTATAAGATAGTTTACTAATGAAATTTGATTTCAAGATAAGATGATTATCCAGAGATTAGAAAGAATGATCTCAACTTCATTCATTACATTACTTCTGAATAAACACACAAGAAGACAATAATTTTCAAGTGGTTTTTGAAAGTAAATTACTTTTTCAAATTACAATTACAAAACACCTTAATTTGTGTTTCTAAAGAAACTGCCCAAAATGTTGGACATTAGGCTATTTAACGGACCATAACTTTTATTTAAGTTCATAACCTAAATGACAACACTTTGAACCTGATAAATCCTCCAACATGCATATTTTCTTTGTAATATTTAAACGCTGTCTAAATCTTTCGGGTTTTGTGTGTGTGTGTGTGTGTGCAAGTAATTATCAATGTTTTTGCTATTTTAACACTAAAATTAAAGTTTTCTAGTTGCATGAAAAAGACTTTCTTTGAAAATCCAATGCTAACTCTTGTTTATTTTTTATTTTAGCCACAGAAAGAAAATCATTTACTTTTACAAACGACTCTAATAGTGAGGTTCTCTGGTAGGACTCAAGTCCTATTTTTTTATAAAGGCTTGAAGTTGCTAGTAATGTATTTCTTAGTTTTACAGACCAGAAATGGATATCTTGTCATAATCATCATAAACCAGAACCATTTTATACTTTATACACACTTAAACTTTCAAACTAGTAGGTTTATTTCAAGCTCTGTAAAGCAGGCACCCCCAGAAATAGACTCATCTAAAGCTAAACATCTCGGATTGCTGAAGCAATTCAAGTTTTGTATCTTATTCTAGATTATGAGTGGATAGCTCAAGTCCATCCTAAATTCACATCAGATTTTATTAAGAAGTCAAAGTTAAAATGTTTATCTAAACCAAACATAGGTAATATTTTTTTTAATAATCTAACATATTTCTAATATCAAATTAGTTACTTTTTAATATATACGTATATAACAATGACAGTAAAACACCAATGAGAATTTTTTTCTTATTTTATTGAACAAATGTTGAAGTCAAGATAAAGTTTCTACTTACTACACTTCAGCTGAGCCTCCTAAAGTAAAGCAGAGTACATACCCTTAATTCACATGTAAGTTAGACTTGATACTTTGTACACAGAAAAAACAATCATAATATATAACAATAGTTTTTATCATTGTGAAGGGGCATTACCTAAATAAACGGCATAGGTTTCACAAAACAATGGTTAATGGTAACACATAAAGCCAAATCACTGTGGCAAGGGTGATTTGTACCACAGTTGGTTCTGCAGATTTTAAATTCTAATCTGCCTTTAGAGGAATTGATTTTTAGATTATGGTCAAGCAATCACTGATGATGAGAAGACTTTTTCTTCTTCAGTGGATGAAAATTTTGTAGAAGATTGGTAGGTTAATTATTACTAAGGATAATTAAAAAAATAATAAAAAATAGAGTTTACATCCATTTAGATACTTCATTATTATCATACCTGTCACTTTCAGTCTGTCCGCTCCAATGACAATCTCATCTTCATCTGCAGAAAACAATACTTTTCCACCTTCACTTGCCCTCACTTCAAATCTCTTACACTGAGCCTCCACAGCATCAGCCCCTGAAATCAAGGAAGTGAATGTTTCGTCTAAGATCTTTTGTAAGATTAAAAGTAATCACCACCACACATGGAATAACAAAACATATCAAATACATGAGGGTTTTATAAAATACTTGGCTTTCTATAAGCCTGGTAGGTAATTTGTATTATAAAATATTGCTTAATTAATTTATAGAGTAACTATTTCATTATTGTATATGAGAATAGAATTTAAAGTAACTATGAAAAACACCTATTTCTGTGTCGTGTAAAAGTCAACAGAAGAATTTAGAATGCACTTAAACTCTGAGATCTTGAAATGCCAATTCAGATAGAGCTTTCTGGGGTTTGCTCATCTTAAATTGCATTTCTTGCCAATGGAAAAAAAGATAACATGTAAGCTTGTTCCATAAAGACCAACAAATCAACACAGCAGAAAAAGGTATTTTTCATTCAGTTGTACTGCAAACTTGAACAGGGGAATAACAAAACAAAAGAACACAAAAAAAAATCAAAAAGGATGAACTGAGATATCACAGTTTATCTCATACTCTAGGAAACAAAACTTCCATGTGTCTCAAAACTACAAATCCCTAAAATAACTCTGAAATCAAAGAGACTTATGGAATTGCATCTAACAGTTCAATAAAAAAAAGTTTGCAGATACCAAAACTCTGTTAAATTTACTATGCTTTTCAAATCAAAAGCCTTATCCTTATTCTTCAGTGTTTTGTCTGCCAAATTGTTTCTGAATATTTTATTTTATTTTATTTTATTTTATTTTATTTTATTTTATTTTATTTTATTTTATTTTATTTTATTTTATTTTATTTTATTTTATTATGAAAGTGAAACTTTACTTCTGAAAACGGTGTTGAAAAACAATGAACTGCATATAGCATAACCTGTTATAAGGTAAATTAATAGGTTTCAGGGCAATTTTCTCATTGATCCCTAACTAGATTTTTAATGTACACCTGGAATGACTCATCAATCTATTTGGATAAAAATTATGGGGAAGGTACTATAGACAAAGAAATCCATGTATACCATTTCAGTATATCAATCTAGTTTATAGGTTTGTAAAAAACAACTGCTTCCATAATGTGGAATGTTTCAGTTTAATATGCAAATGCACAGTATCAAAACGTATAATAAGAAATATAAAAGCTTTAATATCTAATTTTGGATGAGGAATTGTCATACTAGCCCTTAATTTGCAGAAGCACCTAAAAAATCGAAGCAACAATTCCTGTTACTTTCAGACGGACTTGCATTCGTACTGTGAAAAAATTCTGGTTATTTTTAATTCACGAATGTAAAATGAAAATGAAAAGAAATTACACAAATACTTATGATGCCTCATTTTCTGGAAGTCAGACATGGTTATTCTGTTGCAAAAGCGTAAAATGGTATTTTCTCTCTCTTTATGTACAATTGAACTTTATTTTAAATGTGATAATGAGGTGGTTGGCTACGCTTTTAAAAAATACCAAATTTTTGCAAAGACAGACAGTGACAGATTTCAGATAATCTGAGGTTAGCCATGAGATAAACACTACAACTCTCAAACATTCCAGGATGCTCAATAATAATAGTTATAACAAAGTCTAGCTGTCCATCAGGATAAATGTAATCACCATACATATTCATAGAATCATAGAGTCATAGAAAAGTTTAGGATGGAATAGACCTTAAGATGATCTAGTTCCAAACCCCCTGTCATGGGCAGGGACATCTGCCACTACATCAGGTTGCTCAAAGCTTCATCCAACCTGGCTTTGAACACTTACAGGGATGGGGCATCCACAACTTCTCTGGGCAACCTGTTCCACTGCCTCACCACCCTCAATGTAAAAAATTTCTTCCTTATATCTAATCTAAATCTCTCCTCTTTCAGTTCAAAGCCATTGCTCCTTGTCCTATCACTACACGCCCTTGGAAAAAGTCCCTCTCCAGCTTTCCTGTAGGCCCCCTTTAGGTACTGGAGAGCTGCTATAAGATCTCCCCGGAGCCTTCTCTTCTCCAGGCTGAACAGCCCCAACTCTCTCAGCCTGTCTTCATAGCAGAGGTGCTCCAGCCCTCGGGTCATCCTTGTGGCCCTCTCTGGACTTGTTCCAAATGGTCCATGTCCTTCTTATGTTGCGGACCCCAGAGCTGAATACAGTCAGTATTCCAGGTGGGGTCTCACGAGAGCAGAGTAGAAAGGGAGAATCACCTCCCTCGACCTGCTGGTCACACATACATAGGCGTCTTACTGAATTCATGCATTACTCTTAAATACTTTCCAAAGGTCAGTGGTGGTGTCCGTTACAGTGTTGCTCCCAAGCACATCTGAATTATCAGTTTAAAATGCTAGCATTTAGTTAGCAATGCATGCTAGCAATACAGTTGGGAATGATACTCTGTTCTTTTACACTGCCATAGGTGAAGATACCTTTTTATAAAGCTGTGAAATACATATTTATATTTATTTGCTATATTAATGCTTATTTTGTGAAACTCAGTGAGATCTGGGCATCCTCAGGCCTCTGGGGAGTTCAGGACACTGTTGTGTATCTGTCCAGTAACAGAAACAGAGGAGGTAATTAGAAGGTCAATTTTTTTTTTTTTTTCCAATTTTACTTCTTAGTTTGCAAATATGTTTCTACATTGTTTCGCAAAACAATTCCATTGCAAAATAAATCACATTGTTGTTGACTATATCCAATTACTCTATGAAAATGAGACAATTACATAACTCAGATTACTGTAAGAACTGTAATAAAACAGATTATATTACTATTTAATTCATTTGGAAGAGGGAGAAAATATTAAAAAAATTATAGACTGGTTTAAAATACATTTTGCCAATGTTTTCTCTGGAGGGGGAAAAAACAGGCCTGTTACTAAGTTGTTCAGGTTGCCTTATTAAAATTGTGTACTGAAAGGTTCAAAATCAAGTAGCCTTACTATAGTATACAGAGAAACGACTTACATTTTACACTGTCCAGGTTTTATTCATTGATACATATTTTCTTAATGCTTCTATTGAATTTTTTTTAAGAATTGAAAAAATCCTGATATTATCAAAACATTCAATTTTGATATACTTTTGGAATTGCATTTACTTTTGGTATGGAAATGTTTGTTCTTAATTTTGAAATATTTAAAGGGCATACAATTAAAAGGCATTAATTTAACGCAAAATTTATGAAAGTCATATTAAAATTGACCTGAAATATATTCCTTTGAAGAAAAATCAGAAGCAATCATTTCTGTTTCAGTTATAAGTTTGATTTCAAAATCTCAAAGCCCCTCTGTTATTGTATATTTATTTTTCTGAAGTCTAGTTTTCAATAATTTTGTAAATTTAATTCTATTCTAAGATAGGTCTTAAAAAAGAACATGTCACACTTCACAAGGCTGTATTTTGAATCACTGTTGGAAAGAATGGGTAAGAATTCTGTTGTAGAAGTAAGTTTCAGTTAACAAGAAATATGAATTTTATTTTAAAACAATAAGCTCATGGTTTCAGGTTGCTTAAAAACAACATAATGTTCTATGTGAAACTCTTGCATACCAGAACATACGGTCAAATATAGCACTTGATACTATCACAATAATCAAGAAGATCACACACTTTAAAGTCTTTAAACACCACTGTATACGAAGCATGGTACTCTTATTTCCCTCATTTTGCAGAAGGAAAAGATGTTGCACAAGACATAAGGGTACCATCAGTCCCTAAAATGCAGATAGTTCCTACTGGTAAGTGCATTCATGGTGCTCAGTACCTGGTCCCTTTGCATGTGCCAGACTGGTGCGGCATCACATGGGCTGATGTGCCCACCAGGCACCCTGCCCAAGTGCTTGTGTTTCCTTTGGAGGGAAACTGCAGCAGTGAGGAGGGAGAGCCCATGAGTCACTTCAACAGAGAGCATACTTCAGTCAAGTTTTGGGGAAACAATCTGAGGACAAAAAGCTGAAAATCCCTACTACCACCTCTAGATAAAGGTCAGTCAGGATATTTGTGCTATTATAGGTAATAAACCCAGGCAGACTGAGTACATTCTCCTTTATGTGAAGCATTGTCTGGAGAGCTGTTTGTAAAAAATACCATCTTCATTTATGGAGACAGGTAATGAGAACATAAAAAAGGGGACAAACTTTTTAGCAGGGCCTGTTGTGATAGGACAAGGGGTTAACGGTTTTAAACTAAAAGAGGGCAGATTTAGACTAGATATAAGGAAGAAAATTTTAAGGATGAGGGTGCTGCAATACTGGAACATGTTGCCCAGAGGGGTTGTAGATGCCCCATCCCTGGAACATTCAAGGTCGGGTTGGACAGGGCTCTGAGCAATCTGATCTAGTTGAAGATGTCCCTGCTCATGGGAGGGGAGGTTGGACTAGATGACCTATAAAGCTCCCTTCCAACACTTATAAGTGCTTCCAGAAACCTTGCGGTTTGAAGGAAGATGTCCGAGATAACATCAAAGTCATTGCTAAATTATTGATGACAAAATAATTGGTAGCTTCACGTTTCCAACACAAACTATTCTATAATTCTATGAAAAAAAATCAAAAACATTCCACTCAATGGATTAGAAAAAAAATAATACAATACAACCAGTGTTTATTGTCATGGCCAGGAGACTTGCTTTTTAACAGTGATGGGTAGCAAAGCAAGGAGTCCACCACAGTGTCCTGCCTGCCTGACAACAGCTGCAGCATCCTGCAGGGACAGGTAAGCAAAGCTGAAAAAGGATGGAAGGTTGAACCTGTCCTTGTCTTTCAACCATAGTATGGGTGAGGAAACCAAAGCATAATCACAGATAACTTAATACTAACTCGTTTCATCTTTATTTAAGAGCTGATGATTGCTTAGCTGCCTAAAAGTAAGTGGCATTATAAGTACCGTGATGCTGTTAATTTACACTCATTAAAGTTGTTAGTTCTGCAAAGAAAGATTAACAGAAAACATGAAAGAAATCAAAGAGAAAAAAAGACCTGTCACATTTTTACTCATTATGTAACACTGC